AGTCTGCTTCTCCCTCTGACCCTCCTCCCTCTCACGCTCTCTGTCTCTCATTCTGTCTCAAATAAATAAATAAAATCTTTAAAAAAAAAAAAAAAAAAAAAAGAGTTAATAATAAAAATGAGGATTCAACTAACATAAGTAAAAAACAGCATTTTTAAAACTGCATAGGAGGGGCGCCTGGGTGGCTCAGTCGTTAAGCATCTGCCCAGGGTCCTGGGATCGAGCCCCGCATCAGGCTCCTGGCTCTGCAGGAAGCCTGCTTCTCCCTCTCCCACTCCCCCTGCTTGTGTTCCCTCTCTCGCCGCTATGTCTGTCTCTGTCAAATAAATAAAATCTTTAAATAAATAAATAAATAAATAAAACCGCATAGAAATTTTATTGGATCATTTCTATAGCTGCCTAAAATTGGACAGCTTTACAAAACAGTAGGCTGCTGGCAATATGATTTCTAAATTTAATACTGGCCTCCATGAATGTAGTGATGTAACTCAAGTTAACAAGAAAGATTCCCAGACAGGCATTCACGTGAGTGGCTTCATGGATGTGCGCACACACATGCTCATTTGAGAGCGTGCACATATACACCTCCATTTCCGTGTTAGTGCCACCTACTTGATTTACAAGTTCAGGGATGCCCAGAGCTCTGTCAATTTCTTCCAAGCCTGTGGCATCTGTGTTGCTCAAGAGAGTGTGCAGCTGGTCCAACAATGCTCTTTCATCACTCTGCCCTTCTAGGTTAGAAGGTGGCCCAAGGAGATCATCCAGGGAATTCCTAAGAAGTGGCCTAAAAAGAGATTTGCAATCAATGTCAATGCTGCTTTTCCTCCAACACACACACACACACACACACACACACACACACACACACACACACACTAACCACGCACATTTTTAATACACAGTAATAACTTAAATATGACGAGTACAAATAATAAACCAAGTAACAGAGAAGAGCAAATGGCACCAACTTAAATTGAAGGCCCACAATTTTAAACTGAGCCAGGCCATCTTACAACCACCACATCTAGCTTACACATATCTAATTTACAATCCCACCACCAAAATGTAACTACTAGATCCCCAGACATGTGAGGGGATAGCAGAGGCTGAGGGGGATGGGCTAGTACAAGAATAGAAGTGGTAGTAGTTACGCTATTTGTTAACTTGAAGAAATCAACAAAGGACCAGGAAAATTAAAAAAAAAAAAAAAAAAAAAAACCAACACAGAACTATCAGCAAACTGAGCCCGGGACCTGCCAAAATAACTTTTTGTTATCCTTGGCCCACAGAGCTCATGTATTAACAAGTATAATACAAACTCCATACACCTACAGTAAGGTGCCACAGTCCTCCAACATATTAGAAGGACACAGAACCAGATATTCATTCTGCCTCAGAAAAAAATTCCATCATGAGACTATTTGTTCTCCATTGAGTAGAGAAGCACTCAAGCTAATAAACTCACATAGCTATGCCACTGTCTACTCAATAGCTCGATTTTTTTCTTTGCTTAATTAAAGAATTCAAGTTAGACTTGACTTTTACAGGTGGCTTCTTTCATGCAAATGAGTTACTGACCAAGCTAAATAAAAATGAAATACAGACAAAATCCACATCTTTCTTTCACAAAAACAGAGTGCTACAGTTCACTTTCACCATCCCTGAAATGTTTTAAATAATTTTAGAAAAGAATTATCAAAATCCTTAAAAATTAATCTGCCAGAACACTGAGGCTCACCCCCTGAACACCATTTATCTTCTCAAACTGGTGGTCATCTACCCTCTCCAGGTTGAGCACTCACTGGTCCTGACAGCTGAACAATGAAGCAGTCTCCTCCCTCGCTGGCTTGCTGACTCACCTCGATTTTTACACAGACAAGAAACGCCCAGATGGCTGCCAAGCACCTCAATCACAGTGAGTTTTCCTCATTCTCTTTCAGGGTTGCTCCTGTGTTCTGACCCTTGTCTAGATAATCCAATGCTAGCATTTTCAACAGAGTCACATAACAAAGCCCCACCTATTTTGAGTCCCATGAGGGCCCTGTTCCATGGACAACATGCCATCTGGCCAGGAACCCGGTTGGTTAGATGGCGCTGCCTGGCCATATGGACTGACTCCCATTCCCATGGGAATCTCACCAGGCCCTGGTGGAAGAAAAAGAGGGGATACATTTTCAAAGAAGGCAATAGCAAAAATTACCCTAAATCATCTGATTTTCTTTTTTTTTACGGAGGGGATGCTTACGCATTTGAAGCATCTGCTGCTGCTGCTGCAACACTGGTCTCGCCCCTGGGATGCTACCGACCCGCAGCGGCAAGGTGGGCATAGAGCTGCCCACTGCAGGTCTGGGTAAAGAAGCATTATAATCTGCTCCTGGTCTTCCCATGGAGTTGGCACTCATAGGTTCCATTCTACTGGTCTTTGAGTTTGATAAGCCCCAGTCTCCTGAGGAAGGAGTCTGATTCACAGTCACATTTCTGTTTGGTCCACCTAAAACAGGTAGAAATGATTATGTCTTTCCCATATTATACTAAAATCCTTCCTATATAAGTATAGTCATTACACGCAAACTTGACCAAAAAAGTGCTGTATTCCGAAGAACAGGGCTGGCCAACTATTAAGACATTTATTTTTTAAGACATTTTTGATAGGCAATTGTTGCCACGTATTCAACTAGCTTCCCTGAAAGTTTAAAATAACCAAGATGAAGAATAAATTAAGGAAACTCGTGAAAGAAATATTATGCCACTGTTATTCAAAAACCTATTATTTAATCCAAATTATTTAAATGGATTTAAGTATTTTAAATTTGCTTTACCCAAAAGAAAATTTTAATCATAAGTACTGATTAAAAATAACATACCCATAGTTGAGCCATAATTTTCCTGACTATCCATCATTCTTGGATTCCCACCCAACATGGGCTGCTTTGGTAACATGGGGAAAGCACTGATATTCTTTACTGGAGGACCTGAGCCAACAGAAACAGGGCTATCTAGAGACACTGCTCGGCTATATGGGGGACGAATGCCCTGCACAGACTGTGGACTCCTCAAACCTGTTGAAACACAGATGCACAATACATAAGAATCCTCTGATGATTCAGTACATTAAGTAACCAAGCACAGTACATAAATACCAATACCACCCACACAAGAATGTCTTCCTTACTAAAATAAACACTAAGTACAGAAGAAAACAAAAAGAAGAAAAAAAGCCTCATATTCCGAATACAGTAGAAACAAGAGTCCCAGTGTTGGCTGATGTACTGTTCCACAGCCTGACATGGTCATTCATATTCTGCTTCACTTAATACTGAAAATGTTATCAATGTTCAAACTCCTAGAGGTTCTTCCCTATATGTACTTAAGTGGATTCTGTTTAAAATTTAAAATTAAATGTAACTAGAGAAGTTGCCTGCTAATCAAACAAGGAATGAAATGTGGTATTTCCCCCTAACTTTTTTCTTTCTCCAATCTATCTGACTGATCGGACTACCCATTTCAGTTTAGGAAATGGTGCCACTGAAAGTGAGTAACCACCATTCCTGATAACTGTGAATTTTTAATACCTGTAGTATACCTTTCTTAAATTGATGAATGAGGAAACCACACAGCTGTGGAAGAGAGGCTGGGGGAGAACCAGCACACACCAGAAGAAGAGAAGACTCACAGCTAAATGACAAGGTTCCACAAGTGTCACAGGAGAAGTTTCAATCTACAGTTTTAGCTGCTTTTTAATTCAAGTCTCTGTGCCTAACAAAAATACACGCTCTGGTAGCTACTACTCATCTGGAGCAACCAAAGACAAACATTTTCCTAGAAGTTCCATGATTACTGGCATATTAGTTAGAAACAGGAAATTTTAAGAAACAGGAAAATGTCCAAGAAACTTTTTAAAACATATGCACTATGAATTATTTAAAAACAACCTGAGAGGCACGATATGTATTTTGAAGTTAAAAATGCTAATTAGATTCCCATCTTATTGTAAGAGTACAGCTGACCCGTGAACAACACCACAGGGTTAGGAGCACTGAGCCCCCAACACATGATCCATATAACTACTGACCCCAGAAATTTAACTACTAATAGCCTACTTTGACCAAAAGACTTATCAATAAGTCAATTAGCATGTATTTTGTATGTTACATGTGTTATATACTATATTGTTAAAATAAACTAAAGAAATCAAGAAAATCATGAGAGGTGTGTCTGGGTGGCCCAGTCAGTTAAGTGTCCAACTCTTGATCTCGGCTCAGGTCTTGATCTCAAGGGTTTGAGTTCAAGCCCTGCGTTTTGTTTTTTGTTTTGGGTTTTGGGGGGGGTTTTTTTGTTGTTGTTGTTGTTGTTGTTGTTTTTAAATCGTAAGAAAATACATTTACAGTACTGTATTTATCCAAAAAATCTACGTGTGTAACTGAACACGTGCAGTTCAAACCAGTGTTGTTCAAGGGGTAACTACATACAAATGTGCAGAAACTTTTAAAAGGCAGCAAGAATAAAACCTAGTTCTTTCTTACCCAGAGAATTAGTTCCTTGAAACATTTGTTGCTTGGTTCCCAGATTACTACCATTTGTGGATATGGAATTATTGTAAAAGTCAGAACTAGTCAGATCACCAAGAATAGCATCTAGATTATCCAAGTCTCCAGATCCCTGGAAAAAAAATTCTTTAATTAACCTGTGTTAATTTTTTTTTAATTAACATTACTAGATACATAGGTATAAACATATTCATCAGAAGAACACAAATAAAATGGGAATAAGTAAAATACAATAGTTACCTAAAACAGTAATGTCCAACTTAAAGTCTGGCTTCTTAAGACCCCTACCCCCAAATCTTCTTCCTTGAAACTTAGATCAGTGTACTGAAATAAATTCTCTGGGTTTGGAACTGCTTTCGAAGGGGCATTTTTTTAATCTGCACTAGAACTTTAATTCTCAAACTGTAGGATATTTTCCAGCTAATGTCAGGATCATTAGTTGACAGAGAGGTCTGCCTCTACACCTACCTTCAAAAAACAAGTGTGATTAATAATAAAGGCAACAAGCTGACGTTCAGTAAGAGATTCATAGGCATGTCTTAAAAACGGTTCTTGGTCCACAATTTGGAGAGCACTAGGTTAAACAAAATTAAACAGACATCCTAACAGTAAGACTTCCCCCAAGACTTTAATTTTCTCAGGTGAAGTCTCCCAGAAGAGTGATCCTCAAGCAGTATGGGAAACAGAATGAAATCACGTATAGTACGAATTTGTTTTTGTTTTTTGTTTTTGTTTTTTTTTAAAGATTTTATTTATTTATTTGACAGAGAGATAGAGAGAGAGAACAAGTAGGCAGAGAGGCAGGCAGAGGGAGAGGGAGAAGCAGGCTCCCCGCCGAGCAGGGAGCCCGATGCGGGGCTTGATCCCAGGACCCTGGGATCATGACCTGAGCCGAAGGCAGCTGCTTAACCAACTGAGCCACCCAGGCGCCCCTAGTACGAATTTGTTTTTAGGTACAAATCAAAATCTGTTACTTAATACAAATTTTTTTCCCCGTTTCTTTCTACTATCCCTTTAAAAGACCCAATCTGCTCATTCCAACAATAAAAACCTCCATGAAAATTTCCAAACTGGCTACCAAATGGTTCAAGTTAACGAGTCACATTTTAAAACACACACATCTGGTATTTCCATCATTATACACTTTACTGGGGCGCCTGAGTGGCTCAGTCGGTTAGGCGTCTGCCTTCGGCTCAAGTCATGATCCCAGGGTCCTGGGATCGAGCCCCGCATCGGGCTCCCTGCTCAGCGGGAAGCCTACTTCTCCCTCTCCCACTCCACCTGCTTATGTGTCTCTCTCTCTGTCAAATAAATAAATAAAATCTTTTAAAAATAAATAAATAAATAAATAAAAATACACTTTACTGATGCCCAAAAAATTATAAAGAAATGACAGCTCAAGGGTAACTTCTATCACATAAACCTAAAACAGAAGATAAGATTTTGCATATAACACATGGTCTTTCTAACACAGATATGCAATGATTAAACACAATGACTAAGCTGGAATAGAGAAAAACAAATTACCTCTTCATTTGTTTCTGTCTTAATTTTAGAGTCCTTCTCTTGACTTGAACTAGGAATGGTGGAGCTGCCACACTGACTCATTTTACTGTCCCCTCCTTCCACTTTGGGCTGCAGTTCTTTAGAGAGTGTATCACTAGGATCATCCCTGTCTAGCAGATATCTAAGAAGTGCATTATTTTCCTTCTTCTTAGGACTTAGTTGCTCCTGCTTGACATTTCCTTCCACACAAGACGCCGTACTGCTGGTGTCTTTCCCAGTGGCTTCTGCAGTAATCTTGGCTACTTCTGCAGGTGAATTCCCATTCTGCAGCAACTTGTGCAGAATCCGGTGCTTCTCCTGCAGCAGTGACCCATGCATATTCGATGTGGAGGACACTCCTCCGGAGGTGGAAGAAGAGACCCCAGACGGGCTGGTGACACTAATGGAAGAGTCTTTACAACTTGAATCCAGGGGGGAGTTGGTCAAGGAGGAATGGCCCCGGTCATCAGAAGAACAGGTAAGTAACTGCAGTAATTTTTTATGACCCTTGCTTTCTAGAGAACCCCTCTGATTCTCTGACCCTTCAACAGTGCTCTCTTTACTTTCTTTGTCACTGAGGTGATCCCTGCTATTTGACTGACACATTGAACTCTCCACTGGATTCTGGTCACAATACAAGCCCAGGGGACTCTTGGAATCCTGACTGTTCACTTTATTTGGCTGGCTCATATTCATATTGGGAGAGTTATCCAATTTGGGGCCTGGTGAAGACAGAGTGGATAAAAGAGAAGTCCCCACACCCTCACTGATAGCTTGAAGTGCACTCAGAGAGCTGCTAGAAAAGCTGTGGCTCCCAGTATTACCAGAAGATCCCATGGGAGAGTGCACACCTGGATTGGGAGAGAAATAAGGGAAAGAATTAACTACTGGATACTGTAACAAAAATGTCACTGAACTCGAGTTTTTTATAAAATGAACAAACTTTACAAGGATTACAACAGAGCAAGAAGAGAAGAATTACTGAGGAAGAAGAAATAAAGAAAAGGAAATGCCTACACCAGTACCTGCAACAGGAGAAAACTGATGTGAGGCCATCTTTGGACTCCCACGGTTACGAGGAGAAATCATGATGTTCTGCTGACTGGAGCCAAGGCCAGGGCTCCCATGTGGGGGGCTACTCATGTTGAGACCATAGTTGCTGTTCTGGTAGGAAGATGGTGACTGCATGCCTGGCCCAGGGTTCATTGAAGCTATGGGATTGGAGGCCCCATACCTAGCCCCGCTCATCTGCCCTGTGGTGCTGGGGTCAGCCAGGCCATAGGTCCTGTTGCTCAGCATCTGTAAACCGTGGTTTGGCGACATACTCATGCCGCCTACCGAACTGTTACATCCGGCTGCTGGAGGTCTAATGCCTGGTCCAACAGGATTCGTGTTTGCTCTATACCCATTCTGTTCCCTGCAAAGAAAGAGGACACACTTTCACTAAAATAGTACAGGCATGCATTAAAGCACTCACATTTTTTTTTTAAATGATGAAATAAGTGCCCAGGAGTTTAACTTCCTAGGCAATACTTAGTGTCAATTCCAATCTAAATATTGATCAGTTATGAACCCAGTAACGTATTTTTTAATATGCCACAGAATCTAAATGAGTGACCACAAACACAGCACCGTGAAGGGCCAAGAACTATGGTAGCTGGGCTCGCAGCAGGGTTTACTACAGTTGCCACACCTCGAGGGGCTGACCTGGAGGTAACTGCAAATTACTCAAGATAATTAACGCATAAATATTCTGCTCTTCCATGTGCTGCGCATTTACCATTAGCAACAGCAATAGTATCTTTTTTTCTTAAAGTCTACTTTTAAATTTCAAATTCAATCACTAGAAGCAACGTAAACATATCAGAAATGAAAGGTAACGGCAGTAGTCAGATTTTTTACGCTCTTTTATCCACTAGCCTTCCCATTCCCCAGCTTTCCTAGGAAGTGATTATTTAATGAACAAATCCTCATTTTCACATAATAATGTAATCTTAAAAATATATGCTCGCTTTGGCAGCACATTAAAGTAAGTAAAATAAGGGGCGCCTGGGTGGCTCAGTCCTTAAGTGTCTGCTTTCGGCTCAGGTCATGATGTCAAGGTCCTGGGATCAAGCCCCGCATCAGGCTCCCTGCTCAGTGGAATGCCTGCTTCTCCCTCTCCCACTCCCCCTGCTTGTGTTCCCTCTCGTGCTGTGTCTCTCTGTCAAATAATAAATAACATCTTTAAGAAATAAGTAAGTAAAATAAGTGTAACAATCCAGGAATCTAAACTCACTTCAGCAAATCCAACGTCTTTCTAAATTAATACTAAAGCACCTTGAGAACACTGCTGCATTTAATGTGAAGAGACCCAGTAATCTACCATTACCTCTGAAGAAAGTGGGTTGAGACAAAGCCATGCCGATCATTTGTGACAGGATTTCGGAAGAGTTTGCTTTTGGTTTGTGCTGTCACTATGGTTCCATCAGCCAATGAGAATCGATACACCGGGGTTTCTGCATGGCCATGGATATAAGCTGTTGGGGAAAACACGCCATCACTAGTGACTACAATTGACAAAATAGATGATATAAGAGAGGAGAGAAAGGAAATGTACTTCAAGTGCCACATTTTCAAACTCCACTGAAAAGAATGGACCTGCACCAAAATTATAAGCAGGCTAAAAGAAGACTGCTCAAGAATCACTTTCCTACCCCCCACACAAAAGCAGCCATGTATGGCCATGTATATACTTAATGCTTTATGGTACACAAACACAGTAACAAGACCAAGAATCAAACTCAAAATTCTTTACCTTCTTGATAGTGACGTTTCTGGGACCATGACTGACCATCATTAAGACTAAAAAATCTCTGGATACACCTTCGGATTATATCTTCAAAGCCAGGTCTCATGGAGGATCTCAGTGAATTTGTATCTATATTGACAACTTTTCCTATTAAACAGAAAATAAAGATTTAAATCCAACCCACAGTATTTACTGGTTGCACATGAATGGCATAGTGCTGAAGAATAAAATAAAGACACTAAATCTTTGCTCCACTTTCTCTGCTATATCCAGAACTTTTCTTTTTAAGGACATAGTCCTACAAGACACTTACATTAAATGTTCTACTGTACAAAACATAAGAGTATCACAAAACTCCTTTCACTTTCTGAATGTACAGAATATGACGTGTCCAGATAACCTTAGGTTCATTTTCACTTAAAGGAAAAAACAACACCTACCACTAAAATTGTTCATCTGAAGACATTTGATGACATCTGAAGACTAAGAAAATACCTGCCTACACAGCTAGCAGGAACAATTCTTTCCATCTGAGAGGTGATGGCATTTTTGGACACTTAAAATCTAAATCAGGACAGTTAACCAAATACTCATTTCTACAATTCTGGAAGTTTCTGACTTTTGCTTAACATCAAATACACTAGAGACAACTAGTGTATTTGACTATACAATTTATACAACTCAAAAATGCTATGAAGGGGTGCCTGGGTGGCTCAGTCATTGGGCGTCTGCCTTCAGCTCAGGTCATGATCCCAGGGTCCTGGGATCAAGCCCCACATCGGGCTCCCTGCTCAGCAGGAAGCCTCCTTCTCCTTCTCCCACTCTCCCTGCTTGTGTTCCCTGTCTCTCTCTCTCTCTGTCAAATAAATAAATGAAATCTTTTTTTTTTTTTAAGATTTTATTTATTTATTTGAGAGAGAGAGAATGAGAGACAGAGAGCATGAGAGGGAGGAGGGTCAGAGGGAGAAGCAGACTCCCCGCCGAGCAGGGAGCCCGATACGGGACTTGATCCCGGGACTCCAGGATCATGACCTGAGCCGAAGGCAGTCGCTTAACCAACTGAGCCACCCAGGCGCCCCAAATAAATGAAATCTTAAAAAAAAAAATGCTATGAAATAAAAGGTTTCATGAAGATGGTCCTTAAAAAATGGACGGCTATGCCTTTCCACACTTTCTGAGCAGTACCAGAGCAAGACGGCAAGAATAAACACCTTACAAAAAATGTCAAAAACTAGCCAAGAAGAGGGGCGCCTGGGTGGCTGAGTCGGTTAAGCGTCCAACTTGGTTTTGGCTCAGGTCATGATCTCAGGATCATGAGATCAAGCCTAGTTCTAGGCTCTACGCTGGGTGTGGAGCCTGCTTAAGATTCTCTCTCAAAAAAAAATAAATAAATAAGTAAGTAAGTAAGTAAGTAATGGTAATAGTAATAAATTTAAAAATATTTTTTTAAAAAGGAGCCAAGAAGAAAGTAGTTGACCCACTGTCAAAGAAAGAGTGGTATGAGGAGAAAGTACCAGCTATGCTCCATATAAGGAATAATCCAAAAACATTATTCCTAAGAACTTTGTCAAAGGGACCAAAATTGCCTCTGATGGCCTGAAGAGTTGTGCTTTTGAAGTGAGCCTTGCTGATTTGCAGAATGTTGAAGTCACATTTTAAAAATTCAAAATAATTACTGAGGATGCCCTGGGCAAAAACTGTGTGATCAACATTCAGGACATGCATATCCACAACAAAATATGCTCCCTCGTCACAAAATGTCAGACTATGATTGAAAGCTCATGTTGCTGTCAAGACTATCAATGCTTGTTTTTGTCTATTCTGCACAGGCCTTACTAAAAAAATGCAATACCCAGATCCAGATGACCTTTTATGCTCAGCACCAACAGGGTCCCCCAAATCAGGAAGGTGATAGAAATCCTGACCCAAGAGGTACAGACAAATGACTTACAAGAAGTAGTCAATAATTTGATTCCAAACAGATTGGAAAGCTTTTCTATATCTCTCCTAATCTATTTATCCTCTCCATGATGTGTTTGTCAAAAAAGTTAAAATGTTGAAGAAAAGCAGGTTTGGACTGGGAAAACTCAGCTTCACATGGTAAAATAGAGTTCTAAAAATGCTACTGGGGATGACAAAGGCACTAATGGCAAATGAGCTGACAAACAGAGGCCCCAGTCTAAGAATCTGTTTCAAATTCAGACCTTTAACGACATATTTTTTTAAAAAACCTTAATGGGGGGGGGAGGTTAGATGACGACCCTACAAAGAAGGGACAAATGTATTCCAGGAAAGAGTAAATGTTTATGCGCTGTGCCCAGAATAAGGATGTTCTGTCCTCAAGCACCTCCCCTGAGCTTAGCTCCAAGAGCCAGATGACAAACACAAAACAGATGCTCAGAAAAAGTTTACATCAGGGACAGAGAATAAAACCTCTCCAAAATGGGGCGCCTGGGTGGCTCAGTCGT